GCGAGTGACCCTCGGAAGTTGTTGTTCTGAGGCCGCAATCGGAGGTGGATAGGCGCCCAAAAGGACCGTGGGGTGATAACCTCGTTTTCCTCGACAACGGCTCTCTGGTGAAGACACCAGAAAGCCTGTCTTGGTGGCAGAGCCATCAAGGGGTAGATCCGAGAGAGACGAGGCAACAGCTTTCTTGTGGAGAGCTTGAATAGACGGCCGAAAGTTGCGGCTGGGCTCAGAAGCGTGGCAACGATGGTGATTAGGATGGCCGGGTTGCGAACAGGTACACCAGAACTGCTGGCCTAAGAGTGTGTTGTGAGGGGCTACCGGTAGGACAGCAATTAGTTAGTAGGATGTTCTGGCAGCTTTGAGTAATTAATTTAACCCAGCCCTTCGGCTGCCACTTTTCGTATGCGCACGAAGTCAGTATCGGACAGGAAATGCTTTGACATCTTAACGGCGTGGCGCGAAACACAAAAATGAAAGCGTGTCACGCGTTCCGCTTTGTAGGTTAAGTTAATGGTCCTAGTTCGCCGTACAGTAAAACAGATTGTGTCATACAAATCTACTACCGCCTTCCGTGGCAAAAAAACTTCGCGATTTCCTTAAAACGGAAATTGTTTCTGCTTTCTGAAAATAAACGTTATTCCTCAAACTTGGCTTCACTGGCATTTTATCAACCGCAGACTAAATTTTCCGGTTCTGAAGGAGGTATTTTTTACTATTGTCTTACGCGGTTCTCTCATTCAAGCAGACGAATTTGACATCAAATATGCACATACGTTTTTGAATTGAACCAGAAAAGGATTCATTCCAAAGGATTTACTACAAGCTCACTTATTAAGTTCTAAACAACTTTAAAAAACGTAAAGCAGTTTTAACCTTGAAAGTAAAAGCTAGCATATCTTAAGAAATCTCCTCAGCGTAAAGATTCTTCCCTTGAAATTTAAAGACCTTTTTAAGCTGCTGAACTCTGCGCAAATGACGATTATAGCATAAAGTTCGCGAAGGGATTTACTATTCGGCTACATGGGACATCCGGCAGAGTTGCTATCTATTGAAATGTCAAAGTTATGAAGTATGTTTTCCAATCGTTAAAAATATTTAAGAATACTTGTAATATTTATTCTCGGGCAGTCTAATCCCGAGATATTTCAGCCATGTCAGGATGCGGGCTTTTGAATAAGCTTGTTCTGGCAGCCTATAGTTTTAATATTTATTCTTGTGCAGTCTAATTCCGAGGTATTTCAACCATCTCAGGATGCGGGCTTTTTCAAAAGCTTGTTATGGCCGCCTATAGTTGTAATATTCATTCTCGTGCAGTCTAATCCCGAGATATTTCAGCCATGTCAGGATGCGGGCTTTTGAAAAAAGCTTGTTATGGCTGTCTATAATACCTGCACCATATAAAGGACTAATGAAGTAGTATGGATTTTTCCTCATTTATATCCAATGACCTTATGAATTTCAATCTGTTTTATAGATAAAGTGCACGAAATACTCTATCTTGCACATTTTAATAGCAAATTAAGTCATTATAAATATTTCACTTGAAGAAAGAGCATCTTATGGTTTTCAGTAAGTTTCTTATTATGAGATTTTTTTAAGACCGTGAAATATCCATTCACATCTGTCCAGTTATTAATGTTGCTTATAAAATATATGATTTACTCTATACCCAATGCAAAATTTTATGGATAGTTTGTTACATCTTCCTAATAACATGGAGAGACGTTCCATTTCCTTTACGAAATATACAAAATATAGTTTGCAAACCCTGAATGAAAGTGCAACGGTAGGTCGGGTTCAAACTTCTTCGAGAATTGAAAGAGTCGTCTTAAAATAAAGAAAGTTTTATATGAGCACTATGTAGCGTTTTCCTGAAAAAGTAGAAACATGCGTAGGTTTCCTTAGACGGAATGTATAGAGCATGTGTTTTGGAAACTGTAAATGTAAGTGTAACGACATGTCGGGTTCAACATAATGCGACAATTGCAATCTTTTTTAAAGCCGAAAGTTATCCTTTCGTTTAACATATGTACAATTCGAAGAGGACGTCATTTGTTACCAAATGAGTATCTGATAGGATATTTTTGTGCTTGTTTTCTGTAAAACGTATTGGAAGTTTTTATGGACACCAAAGCTCAATGAAAAAAACGCCTACTAATTAATTGGCCATCTTGATCAATGGAGTTTCGGCGACAGGAGGTCGTTAAAAAGCCGACATAGTGTAGTAACTGAAATAACTTGGGATTAAGCTGCACGATAATGAATATTAAAACTATACATATGCATTTTTTAAATCAAAAACACACTTTAAAAGTCTTTTAATATTTCTCGAGATAGCCAAGTTATAGTATATTCCTAACCTTATCCCGTGTTTGCTGCCTAGTAACAAACTTTTGAAACGCTTACTTCTTTCCTAGGACGCCGCTCAGGAGGAACACTCGGAGGATGAGGTGGAAGGTGTCCCCGACAGTGAAGACGAACACATGACAGGCGGAAAAATGCATGGGTTGCCTGAATATCTTAAAAAACAGGGTGTCTGGAGAGTGTCGAGGGTTTCCGAAGCAGAAAGCCTTGCTTCGTATGCTTCAGTAATCTCAATTCCAGAAAAGAAACAGGTCAGAATTCATTAGTATCAAAGAATTGTGTAAATTCGCTCTTTTCACTTGAATGTTACGTAGGTGGCTTTAATTCGGGCTTAGTAGACTCTTTTGGTGCTATGGAGTTCCTATGCATATAAATTAAGTTTATTGGGAGAGGTTTTGCAGATCGGAATAATTCAATTGACCCAACTGTAAAAAATGCGTGGCTTCGGCTCAATACAGCTAACGGAATACTGGTGGCTTCCAGATGATTTCTTAGGAAATCTTGTCTGAGCTGTTAGCTTACTGTATCCGTGTTGGTTGATTCCATACTAACAGTAGCCTGGGCGAGTAAAACGACCCAAGTGTGATTAAATCAATGGCTCTCGACGTGCCTTCATAGCTCAATTGGTTGAGCGTTAGCTGCACTAAAGTCTTCCCTGATGATGTGTTTCGTATCCCACTGAGGCCACAGCACCCGAGTTCTCCTTCGGTCGTCTTGCAACCGGAGCAAGGTAAGTGTTAAAACGCTGTGTGTTCCTGTGTCAATATTGGTTATATCCCCCAGTTGCGTGTTAGGAAGAGAAGTCAGAACAGGATAGCTGATAGTACTTTACTGTCACTAGTTCTGCTTTTGCATCAGCGCTCTCTTCTGTGTGCCCGTCAGCAGCTCGTCTCGGCCAACAGCAGGTCTTGTCACTAGCAGTAGAATCTTGGGTCGTCGGCAGCGTGTCTCGGTAACAGAAGTTCCGTGTCTCCCAGCAGACGAATGCCCTTCTGCTCGCAGCCTCGCTATTTAAGGGCCAGTAGTCATTGTACCCTATTGGCCCTCTACGAGTGGCCTCTATAGGCAGCCGTCGTGCCTCAGCCATCGTGTCCTCAAGTGACGCTTGGCGTGCGCGCTTTGTTCCTGGCCAGGCATGACCTCATGGACGGCAGACCCCGGCCCGTAGTCGTCCTTTCGTACTCGCGTATTGGCCTTTCAATGTCGCTCTCTTTGCCCGCTCTGCATGTATCAGTTGCCTGTCCGATTCCTTTGTTCTAGTGCCCTCAGGACAGCCCTGTTGGGCCCTTTTAATACCTCCCGCCGTTAGAAGACGGACTTGTCCGGTGGATATCTAGTCCTAGGTGGCCTCCTACAGTCCTGGTAGTCATCTACTTGACTGTACTGCGTTTCTGCTCTTGTCAACGATCTCGTGGCAGATACTACTGGCTGAATCTTCTCCACCGTCGGCAGCGGGTAATGACCGTCTTCAAAATCTTCATTCAGCGCCGTCCGCATCGCATTAGTCTAGCTGAGGCTGTCTACTCTGCTTCATTACCAGATTTAGGAGCGACAAAGGAAATGCCCTTTCACCTAGCTATTACCATTTTCTTGATTGTCTTCTTTTACTACACTGACTGCCCTCTTAATGTGTCTCTGTATTTATAGAAGCACGCGGTCCTCAAGGCACTTAAAATGAACCGACCCGAATGGTACTTCCTACTTTTCGGATTCCTAATGACGATGCTCGGCGGACTCACCCTTCCATCCTTCGCTCTCCTCTACTCGGAAATGTTCCAGGTGCCAAAATGTCTTTCGCCAAATATTTGATCAACCTATTTGCCTAATGACTCACTATAATTTTTCATAGATAAGTGCCACTAGGGCATATTTCACGCAGGCAGTTGGACACACGGAAGGCTCTCGGATAACTTAAAGCTTTTGCGCTAACGGGGTTATCTTCGAAAAATTCCTTCTTGGGACAAGCTTGGATTGTTGTGCGGCTACAAGCCTGTCCGTCTTAGGTTACCCCGTGTTTGGCTTCGTAATTAACTTAGTTTCGTGTTTGTTCGCTGAACTCCAGCTGAGGGGCTTGGTAGGTTTCCCGAATAGCGAAACAATGTTCGACCGTAGTTGTCTCCATGTCTGCGCCGTCAGTTCCTCGACCCAGAGTTTTGGTATTCTGAAAGGCGACCGTGTAGCCAAAGTATGCGTAGTCGTCCACCACCAGAGACAATGGACTAATTGTCATCATAGCCAGCGTACTTCCCTTTATTCGGGTCTGTAATCGTTTGCCGATCGTTATAATTAAGTTCGCAGGAGTTACACTGGATCCGGTTGCTGGTGTTTTTCCTTACATCTCGTGGCAGGGGGGGGCCTTAAGTCTCCTGACCATCTGCGGAATAGTTGACTCCTGTCGATGGACTATCCCGGTCCTCAACCGTCTTTGGAAGCAGGAACCTGTCTCAGAGACGCCGTCTAGACAAAGAAGCGCTCGCCACACATTTTGTGATCTGTGCCCGGTCTTTGACTTGACTTGAATTGCCTGCCGCACTTAAAGAAGTTTCCGGGGTATGCGTAGGCCATGAAGAAGTTGCTGGAATTATGTCCTTTTCTCGTCCAGCCCGCAGCAGCGTTTTTTCGTCCTTCTTTTGAGTTTCTGCACACAACTGCGTCGGTGACATAACAAGTACTTAACCTGGGGTTTGGCACGTGTTGCTGGTCTTTCTATAACCTGTCCTTTCTTAGTTGTCCCTCAGATCTTCGATGGACGAGAGCGTTTAGGAACGGCAGTTGGTTGTTGCTCCCTGCCTTTTATTGCATATTAGGTATCTGATAAAGCAGACTTCGAGGGTCCAAAACTTTGGCCTGTTGGTTGGGAAAACTAGAATTACTTTCAGATGCTCACGGTCCTTCATTGTTCGGTAGGCGTCAACGATGCAGATTTTGAGCATGCCAATATGTGTCCTGTATCCACTTTTGCATAGCTACAAGACATAAATGGTCTTCTCTTAGCAAGTGTTCATGTATACGGGTAGGAGAAATTTCCGGGTTTTACTACAATAGACTGCATCCCGGTATTTCGTAGAGGCTTTCCTTTTTGTTCAAATAGCCAATCATGTCCATAGGGTGTACAAACAGGGGACGTAAAAAGAGGCTTGCGGGTTATTTTTATCCGTTTTTTTAACAGCCTTTCGACAAGCTCAGTTATCTTCCCAACGGAAGAAAGCCGGTTAGTTTTCGCACACGAATGGCTGTCGTCGCATATATCGACAAAATAGTCAGGAGGAGAAGAGGATGCGATCACTGGAACAAGATT